ATGCTCTCTGGTAGCATTTATTCATGCATTTATCATGTATTTATGTATTCTTAACAGTATAAGAATGGAGTATTTCCTTTACTAGGTCTGTTACAACTATAACTGTAAGGCTTAAATTATTAAAATAGTGCGCTATTGGTATAAGAATAGATAAGTTAACGGAACAACGTAGAATGGCTAGAAACAGGCTAAATATAGAAAGATTTGTTCTATGACAAAGCGGCATCCTGAAACCAGTGATGAATAAAATCAGTCATTTAATAAATATTATTATTAAAAATGAGTTATAATTCTATCTCAAAAAATGTAATAATTCTATTTCAAACATAAAATCAGTTGCAGGTAGATGAAAGGTTGAAGTGTGGAAAACAAAACCATGAATATCATAGAAGAAAACTAGGTTACATGAACCACCTAGAGTGAATAGATACCAAACATGCCTGCCCCCAAGGAAAAAAATTAGAAAAGGCTGACAGATTTGAGAGCATAAAATTCAAAGCTTTTATGTAGCTATTCAGCCACTAAAGACGTAGATACAGAGTTACCCAGGGCAAAAGATGTTGAGTAACTTGTTGAGTAAAAATGCTGGCCCCCCCAGAAAACTGTATGTTATAATCCCATTTTTGTTTTTTTCTTTTCTTTTAAGAGAAAATGCATCAGGCCCTATTTAATGCTCGCAGCATTTAATTCTTTTCATACACATTAAACACACGCAGGACAAGAGTATGTCTTATTCCCCAGCAATCCGTGGACCCTAGAAAGCTCAGGACTGCAGCTTTGAGTGTAAATTCCTTTGGAGGGACTCCTGACTTCTTTCTGGAATCATCTGATTTGTCTCCTCCTAATCAAGTAGCAGAGCTGTCCTCCCCCAACCAATCAGCTTCTCTGTCTTCTTAACCAATCAGTGTATCGCTCTCCTCCCAGCCAGTCAGCTGGGCGGTCTTTTCCCAACCAATCAGCTTGTCTGTCTCCTGCCAGCCAATCACCTGACCTCCCTGCCCAGCCAGTCAGCTGTCTGTGGTTACCAAGGCAGGGAGCAGGCACTGGTTAGGCTTGGCCAATGCCAAAGCCCACCTGTTCCTGGGACGTCACCGCATGCCAGAGGCTTGGGTGGAGGAACGAAGAAATCAGGGAGGCCTCAAGGAGAAGGTGCTGTACGAGGAAAGGCAGTCAGGCACACGAGGAATAGACAGCTTGCCAATCTGACTTTCCAAGGCACCCTAAGTGAACAAGCCAGCTTAGGGTCATTCTCTTTCATTCCCTTCTTTCCAACAGCTCCCCCAGACCAACAGATCTGTATTGCTTCTGGGCGTCTTGCCTACGGCCAAAATTCCTTCAACAAGAATGTTGAGCTTTTCTTCCCTTCTCTAATTTAGACAGAAAGGATTTAAAACGCAAACACCTTGGCAGGGCCTTCAGTCGCTAATCAAAGATCTAAGTGACTCTTACTTTGAAATGGATAAGGGAGATGGAGGGCTGTGTCACTTGCACGCTGGAAGACCAGGCCGCTTCCCAGTTTCAGGTAGAACCGGCTGACTCTTCTCCCCTGAATGCATGCTATGCCTTGAGATGTTTTGGGGACGCCGCTGAGCAGAGACTGTGTTCTGGGCAGCCCAGCGAGCAGAGGTGGCGTGGAGGGCTGGCCGGGAAGGGTGAAGGCCGGATGCTGGGGACGGCGGGGTTCTACGCCTAGGGGACGAGAGCCAGGCAGAGGAGGAACTGGAGGCAGAGATGGAATGAGGGTTCTTGGACTCCAAGCAAGAGGACCCTGGGAACCCCAGTCACTCACTGCTGAGCACCTTGCCCTCAACAGTGCCCGGGGACCGTGTGACGCCTCCGATGTCCTGGTGATGGCAGAGAAGGCAGATGCCTGGAGAGGCAGTTTATGCCAGGCCGCCTGGGCTCACAGCTTGTCCCCTTCCGGGGAAAGCAGAACCGAAACAGGAAATCATGAACTCTTTCTCACGGCAGAGAGTCATTTTCAAGTTAAAAAAAAAAAAAAACCTAACTTGCGCAAATGTATAGTAAGCCTTCGTGGAAGACACATTGCGCTCCTTACTGAGGGGACCAGCAAGATGGCAGAACTCGTTTAAAGGATGGTATGAGACCCTTGGTTGAGGGAGTTACTCACAGGGGGCGCCCAGGTGGCTCAGTCGGTGGAGCATCCAACTCTTGATTTTGGCTCAGGTCCTGATCTCACAGTTTGTGAGTTCGAGCCCCGCGTCAGGCTCCGTGCTATCCGCCCTGCTCTCTCTCTGCCTCTCTGCCTCTCATAAATAAATAAATAAATAAATAAATAAATAAATAAATAAATAAAATAGATGATAGATAGATAGATAGATAGATAAAGTTTTGAAGACAAGTTCCTCATAGAAGCGAGAATACGTTTGCAAAATTAGATACGAAATTAGTTGAGATGATAGAAGAGGATAACGCCATACCCTGCGGGGTTCTCTTTTCTACCGAACAAAAGCCAGTTCCCTCATCTGATGTCCCCGGGTTCGCCTCTCGTTTCCAGAACCTGAGCCCTGCCTGATTCATCAGTAGCGAAGAGTAAATTAAGCTAAATTACCCTTCTCTGCATGACCCTTCACTGGGCTTCTTAGAAAGTGCTTTAGTGAGATTTTCGTTTCGGCCTGTGGGACTATGGTTGCCTGATTCCTGAGTGCCCCGACCCGCCATCCCCCCCCCCACCACCGCCCCCAGCTGAGGGAGGCAGTGGGGCGGAGGCCGGAGTGGAGGCCACGGGAGAAGCTGAGGCGGAACCACTCAGCAGAGTCACCAGTACTTGGTCTGAGGCCACCGTGGCCTCACATCCTGGAGCTGTGAGGCCTTTGGCAAGACATTTCTTTAATTTATAGGAGCTTTTTTCTCTCTTTTTTTTTTTTTTAACCTCATCTGTAAAATGGGAGTATAATAATGCCTCCTCCCTTAGAGCAATTTGAAGGTGAATGCTGGCCTCCGTGGATCTCACGTTGCTGGGGACAGTAAGGACGGGGCAGCGGTACCTTGAGAGACAGGTCCTGATCAGGTTACGGGGAGAAGATGACAGGGGACCATGGGCCCTTCACCCAAGGAGCCGTATGGAGCCAGTTGCCATGGCGATGAGTGAAACAGCCGATCCTGCTTTGATGTGGCTGGGTGGTGGAGGAAGTGGGCAGGTTATCAAGCCTTCGGGCCTCCCCCTTCTTCCTGACTCCACCCCAATAGGGTGGCCTGGCTGCCTCCACTCTGGGGGTGGCAGGAAACCTCACGTCAGTGCCACCGGGTCCTGCCCACCGCAGCCCCTTGGATTCAGCCCACATGTTTGTCAAATACTTACTCCAAGCCCCCGCCAGCTGTGTAGAGCACACCGCTCGCCTGCGAAGAATGTATCTGTAATCCCGAGGGGCGACAGGGGGCATCATATGTGTGAGTCACTGTGCAGCTTTCAAAGCCCACAGACCTCGGTGGCTGCACCTCCCTTCCCCCGATCACAGCCCTAGGGGGTGCAGGGAAGAGTAGTACTATTCCCACGTCAGACCTGAGGAAACGGAGACTCAGAAGTTTCATGTTTCTTGCTGTAAAGTCGGGTGTGAGAGAAGGAGGAACATGGGCGGGCTGTGGTATGACCTACGCTTTGTCACTTACTAGCTGGTTTCCTCGCACAGGTGACGGGAGCTCTCTGAGCCTCCCGGTCAAAAGTAGGATCGTGGGGCGCCCGGACGGCTCAGGCTCAGTCGGTTCAGCGTCTGATTCTTGGTTTTGGCTCAGGTCATGATCTCACAGGTCGTGGGATCGAGCCCCGTGTCGGGCTCTGTGCTGACAGCTCGGAGCCTGGAGCCTGCTTCCGATTCTCTCTCTCTCCCTCTCTCTCTGCCCCTCCCCTGCTCAAGAACATCCTCTCTCTCTCTCAAAATAAATCAACACTAAAAAAAAGTAGGACCATCATTGTCGATGGTGATGATGATGATGGCGATGGTTGGATTGGTCTCATCCTCAGGAACCTCCCCCCCCACCCCGACCTGGGTATTTACTATTATTCCCACCTTCCAGAGGATGAGCCTGAACTCCAGACATTGCGTACGCTCACGTAGCTGACAAGAGCTCTGCTCCCTTGAAGCTATGTCTGTTTGATTCCCAAAACCATATCCTTCGATGCCAGCAATGTATTCTCACATCTGCATAGAGCTATTTCTATGCCAAGAGGCACAGGCAGACCATTGTGCGTCACTAGAAAATCCTGGGCTGTCCCAGCTGCCATTTTTTTTTTAACGTGTATTTACTTTTGAGAGAGAGAGAAACAGCACACGAGCAGGGGAGGGGCAGAGAGAGAGGGAGACCCAGAATCCGAAGCAGGCTCCGGGCTCCGAGCTGTCAGCACAGAGCCCGACGCGGGGCTCGAACCCACGGACCGTGAGATCATGACCTGAGCCGAAGTCGGACGCTCAACCGACTGAGCCGCCCAGGCGCCCCATCCCAGCCACCGTTTTGTAAGCACTTTCCTCCCTGGGCCATTTCTCCTGCTGCCTTTGACCTTCTATCAAAGCAGGTACAAACCTGGGCTCGATCACCTCTGCCCATCAACTGGTAGCAGGTGAATTCTGAATATTCTTCAGTGGCAGTAAGTCTCCCTTGGGATCTTAGTGATCATAGACATTTATATTTCATACTTTGTTTAAGTCCCTGATGATGGAATAAAAGGCATAGATTCCTTGAAGCAAAGTCAAACATCGTTGACTAGCGGGTGGGGGATTTGGTCACAGAACGTCTCACCCCAAATGCACAGGTGTCCCAGGAGAAACTGAGGATCCATTACAGGGTAGAGGAGGCTAGGCTACAGGCAGTGTGGGACTCTGGATAGGATCCTGGAACCGAAAGACAACATCATGGCCAAAGATAGACAGAGTCACGGGGGAGAGATGTTGGAAAGGAGGGAGCAGCTGTTCCAGAAACCACAGGGCGTGATGAGTTAGAAGTAAGCTGGTTGCCCCAAACAGAAACCCCAGAATAATAGTTGCGGCAACTCAAAGGGGTTTATTTTTTTTTTTTTATTTTAAAAAAAAAAAAAAAAAAAATCCCAGTGGAAGGCAGCCCAGGGTTGGCACAGGGCTGAACATTCCAGAATCATTTCTCTTTTCTGTTTCACCATCCTTAGCAGGAAACATTGCCCTCGGTGTCACTTCTTGGTCTAATGACCGCAGGAGCTGTGGCCATCATGTCCCCATTCCAGTTAACAGAAAGGAGGAAAGGGAGGTTGCAAAATGGGGTCTTCCAGAAGCCCCCACCCAACACCTGCAAGGGAGGTCAAAAAATGTGATCTATCAACCTGTGCCCTTTGGTGAAGAAGAGGGAAGGGTGTTGGAGGGATGCGAACAGGTCCCCGCCATGTGTGACCCACGAGTAAGAGTGGCCCGGCGGAGCCGGACTGGGCCTGTCGGGGGGCGGGGACCACCGGCTGGGGCAGCAGGGTCACCACGCCTCACTCCCCCCAGGCCTGGTGGCCCTGCAGAGCTGGAGGGCATCCCGCAGGCATCTCCGTGGGTTCCTCCAGACTCTCTATAGAACGAACCAAGGACCTGAGTCCCGGTGACTCCGTGAAACCAGGTGGGGCTTGCTCAGGGGCTCCTTGTATGCAGGCAAGGCCTTTGAGCTTTCTTCCATAGCAAAAGGAATGTGTACGGAAGGGTCAAGAGACCTCACTTGGCTGTGTGTTCTGAGGTCTGGTGGGGGGGTGGGGTACTGTCGGGGGGGTGAGTGATGTCTCCACTACAGCATTTCACTGGGGGGCCTGTAGGGGGCCAGGAGGGGAGCTGGCCTCTGTCACTCACCCAAGTGGCCACCAGATGGTGTCCCAGGTCCCGATGGCAGTAGCCACCGTTTCAGGGACTTTCCCATCAAAATAAGCATCACTTCGACCTCTGAACATGTGACAGTTACCTAAGAGAAACATCAAACAAAAGGCCCCAAATCAAAACAGTTAGGTCCTAAATTAGAATAGCATGAACTAGTAATTTTCCACCATTGACGACACAAAAATCGTGGCCTTTCTGTTTACAGCTGTCTCTGACCCCGGTCTTGGCTCTGCACCTATCCAGGGGCATTGCCTTCCTCCTCCCGGCCCACACCCAGTCGCAGAGGGGCCTTGCCCCCTGACAGGGGCCCCCTTGAGGCTGCCTACCCCCCTGAATCCCAGCCCCTGCTTCTGGTGCCCTTGTCGGTGAGGAGGGCCAGTGTTGTTTAACCTTACTGTGGTGGATACACAACCGAATCCTTACTCTCAAGGCTCTGTTTTCCAGCCGCGGACCTGGGTCAGGTCGCAGGAGAAAAGGAGAGACTTTGGGCTGATGAGGCAGATGAGGCTGGAGAGAGAGGCTTGGGGGTGGGGGTGTTGTGGCCAGGGGCAGGGACAGGACCCAGCCTGGGAGGGACAGGATCAGGGAGACCCACCTGTCCTAAGAGTCCGTGGGAAGCCAGGCAGGGGCGCGGAGGGCCATTGGAGACCCAGCTGGGGGCCTGCACACTCTTGGGAGGGCCCCCGTGCCTCCAGATGGCCAGAGAACTCCTAGGTGACAGCAGGCCGGCCGCCTCGCAGCCTCGGACCCTGTGCCCACCGTCTCAGAGGAGCGGATCTTCACGGGGCCTGAGTCTCGTCCCCAGGCCCCCGACCTCCTTGGCCAGGGCGGGGTCACAGCAAGGCACGATAAACCTACCGACTCTTGTTTGTTTTGGCAACAGGAATCTCCTACCAGCGGCTGGTGAGAGCCGAGCAGGGCCTGTCCATCAGGAGTCACCGCAGTTCTACCGTGTGAGTGCTCTCGAGGGGGGTCCCACATTCCCACACCCATGCCACCCCCCCGTGCATCTGGCTTTCCCTCCATCACTGCACCCCCAAATCCCCAGCCATCAACAGAGCCTTCAAGAGGACCAGGAACCCCTTGGGATAGCTGGTGACGTTTGGTACATAGGTTTGTTTCTCTGGGCTGAGAGGCTTTCCTCAGATTGCTAAACGGCTCTGAGACTTAAAAACAAAACAAACATTAAAAACCACCTGCATCGATCATGCCAGGTACAGGGCAAGGATAACCTCGCTCTACCCCCCGTTTTCAGATGAGGAAACTGGAGGTCAGAGAGGCCAAGTGACTTCCCGAAGGTCACACAGCTACTGAGTGTCTGAGCCAGGATTTAAACCTCGGTCTTACTCAAAAGCCCACGAGCTTTCTACGATGTATTTCCGCCTGTTACTAAAATAACATTTTCCGGGGCGCCTGGGTGGCTCAGTCGGTCAAGTGTCTGACTCTTGATCTCGGCTCAGGTCATGATCTCACGGTTCCAGGAGTTCGAGCCCCGCGTCGGGCTCTGCACTGACAGCACGGAGCCTGCTTAGAATTCTGTCTCTGTTTCTCTCTCTCTCAAAATAAATACACTTTTTAAAAAATTAATAAATAGCATAGCATTTTCCAAACCATTTTGACTAGGACCTACCATAAAAATAATGCATTTTATTTATTTATGTATTTATTTATTTATTTATTTATTTATTTATTTATTTTTTTTTTTTTTTTAAGTCATCTCCACACCCAGCGTGGGGCTCGAACTCACAACCCTGAGATCAAGAGTGCTGTGCTCCACTAACTGAGCCAGCTGGGCGCCCCTAAAAAAATGCATTTTATATGAAAGCCTGCTGTATACACACACACACACACACACACACACACACACACACACACACTGAAACAAGCTTTAAAAAGTGAAACTCACGAGGCGCCTGGGTGACTCAGTCGGTTGAGCATCCGACTTCAGCTCAGGTCACGATCTCGCGGTCCATGAGTTCGAGCGCCATGTCAGGCTGTGGGCTGATGGCTCAGAGCCTGGAGCCTGCTTCCGATTCTGTGTCTCCCTCTCTCTCTGCTCCTCCCCCGTTCATGCTCTGTCTCTCTGTCTCAAAAATAAATAAATGTTAAAAAGTGAAACTCACCCCTACCCCCTTGGATGGGCTGTGTCTCAGTCTATTCTATTTTATTTTTTAATTTTTTTTTCAACGTTTATTTATTTTTGGGACAGAGAGAGACAGAGCATGAATGGGGGAGGGGCAGAGAGAGAGGGAGACACAGAATCGGAAACAGGCTCCAGGCTCTGAGCCATCAGCCCAGAGCCTGACGCAGGGCTCGAACTCACGGACCGCGAGATGGTGACCTGGCTGAAGTCGGACGCTTAACTGACTGCGCCACCCAGGCGCCCCTATTCTATTTTATTTAAAAGGCAGCTGTGATTGTGATCCCCCAGAATGATTCCATTATCCACTCATGGGTCCTGGCCGGCCAAGCATGTGGCTGCCGTTTCACCTGAATGCTCGAGAGCCCAGAGACCCCAGCCCTCTCACCCCCAGCGCCAGGGGCTCACTGCACATTCACACCATAGAGCAAACACCTATGAGTTCCTTCTAATAAAAACAAACAAAACAAGCCCGAGGCAGGCTTTGGGAGAGGCAGAAAGGGTACAAAAATGCTTCTGTGTCGTGAGTAAACAACGCTTACCCGGGGCTGATCACCAACCCCTCTGCACTTAGCGAGCTCCGGGCATTGCGGGAAGTAAAGCATAGTGTGATGTCCAAGTGTCACATCGGCCCCTGGAGAAAGGGATTTGTCAGATCTGGGGCCCAAAGAGGTTAGCAGGAGGAGCTTAGAACAGAGTGGTGGTCTCGCCGTCGGCAGGAGGGAACAAGTGGGCGGAGAGAGCGCGTGCCCGGCTGGTCCCGTCCGAGGACTCAGCACGGGTCTCTGGAAGGAGTGATCAAGCGCTCAGTGAAGGAGGGTGGCCCAGTCACTCGTGCAGGCCTGCCCCCTTCTCCTTACAAACAGAGAAACTGATATCCGTTTCCCCCTTGCACGATGGGTGCTCTGGCAGAGCCCGGTCCCAACGGCACCTGCTTCTCTGCCCTGGGTTTAAACACCACGCAGGCCAGGGAGGACGGGAGCCGTGCGGGCAGGCCATCCTGAAACATCTACAGCTGGGACAACTGGGGTGGCTCCAACACACTTGGAGAAAATGCAGCGGCGGGCGGTTGGTGCGGGTGAAGGGAGAGCAGTCCCCTGCGGTTAACTGTTAACTGAGTGACTGACACCTTGAGGGTTCGCTTGGGTGTGGCTGAGATTTTCCATGACGAGCAAACGTCAATGCCGGCTCGGAGCCCAGGGTCAGGCGACGGGACACGCACAGGCGGCTAGGCACACGCTCCCCTCCCATCCCCGTGAGACCCTGGGAGGTGGCTCTCCCAAGTTCAAGAAGAAGTTCGACTTGCAAAGGGTCTTCGAAAATACTGGCTGCAAACTATCAAAAGCAGACCGTAAGCTTTCCCCTTGGAACTGGGACCCTTGAGCCCCCGGCCCGGCTCCTGGCCGCAGGCCCTGCCGGGCGAGCTCTGAGGACCGCCAGACGCCAGACGTGAGGTGCGTGGCTGTGCTGCCCTCCCCACAGCACCGTCTCTGTGTCCCCAGCACCGTGCTGTTGTTGAACCCGGTGGAGGTTCAGGCCGAGTTCCTCGCCGTGGCCAATAGGCTGAGTGCACCCGGCCACTCGCCCCACAGCGCCTACACCACGCTGCTCCTTCACGCCTTCCAGGCCACCTTCGGGGCCCACTGCGACCTCCCAGGCCTGCACTGCAGGCTGCAGGTATGTGCCCGGGGCCCCTGGGGTTTATTTAGCATCACTCCCCCCTCCCATCAGAGTAGAGTCCCTCTCTGGCTCTGTCCCGGTGCTGCCGTCTCCGTCTCCCGGGTATGCCGGCCTCCCCCGACCCGGGCCAGCCCGGCCCCTTCCCCTCTCTGGGCCGCAGCGACGAGCTTGGGACTAGCACTCCCCGCCCGCCCAAGTTGGCGGTGCTCTGGTCCTGGTCTGGGCCTTTCTCTGGCGCCCGCGTCCGGAGAAGAGGGGCCCCGGGCAGGAGGCCCGGCTCCCTGGCCAGCTGTGAGTGCAGGTGGGTGACGAGGCAGGGAGGAGACCGGTGGGTGCTGCCATCGGCGAGACCCCGGGACCTGGAGGAGTGGGGCCGGCGAGCTACGGTTCGGCAGCAAGCCCGTCTGCCCCTGGGGTTTCAGTCCAAGAGCCTGGCCGAGCTGGAAGACATCTTCACGGAGACCGCGGAGGCACAGGAGCTGGCATCCAGCATCGGGGACGCGGCCGAGGCCCGGCAGTGGCTCAGGACCAAGCTGCAGGCGGTGGGAGAGAAAGCCGGCTTCCCTGGTGTCTTAGGTGAGGCTCTTGGGAGAGCCGGGCGCGTCTTCCCCACGGCCAAGTGAGCATCCCAGCCGGCCGGTGGGTCTGCTCCACACAGTCCTTCGGGGACCCCCGGCTGTCGTTACCCTGGTGTTAGGGCTGGCCGGCCGTGGCAAGAGAGAAAGAGAGTGCTACCTGGGGGCGGGCGGCTTCGTTGTCCCACCAGAGATCACGCAGGAGGATGCAGTCCTCACGGGTCCCTTTGGAGGCCACGCCTCGCCCCCAAGGAGCCTAGAAAACATCCTTTCTGCAGCTCCGCCCCTTCCAGAAGAAAGGACGCGGTCTTCCGTCACCCACGCCCCATGAGACAGTGCCCTTGTGCTCCCGTTCGGGCCCTGTCAGGGGAGGCTCGGAGGCTGAGTTGGCCGCATCCGCACAGCCTGTAAAAAGGCCTGGCACCTACCTGGGCTGCTTGAACGGAGGGTCCTCGGGCTGCGAGCCAGGTGTCCCAGCTTCCCACGGAGTCTCGTGTGGCCCATGCTGGCGTCTTGTCTGAGACCCTTGCGGCCCTCACCGCCTGTCCCCCTGTCGTTACAGACACGGCCAAACCTGGCAAACTCTGCACCATCCCCATCCCGGTGGCCAGGTGCCACACCTACAACTGGAACCAGGACAGCTTCGGTGAGCCCCCGGTTGGGGCCCTCGCGGTGCCCGCTCCCGTCCCCCAAAGCGGCCAGGGCGCTTCCTGTTCCCGGGTCTGTGCACCCGCCTCCCCCCCCCCCCCGCCCCGCCAGCTGAGCAGAGCAGGGGGAAGCGCTTAAATCCCGGGCTGGCCTTTGACCTCCCTTCCGCCCTCTTCTCCTCCGGGCCAGTCGGCCTGAGCCTGTCGCCCATCCCCAGGGTGTGAGAGAGGGCTTGCAAGGGCCCAGACACCCAGACGGTGCCTCCCCTTGCAGACGTCCTGCAGGAAATCCTGCTCCAAGAACAGGAGCTGCTCCAGCCAGGGATCCTGGGGGACGAGGAGGAGGAGGAGGAGGAGGAGGAGGAGGAGGAGGAGGACGACGACGACGACGACGACGACGACGACGACTTGGAAACGGAAGGGCGTTGCGCCCAGAGGGACTCCCTGCTCTCCACCAGCTCCGCGGTCTTCCACGACTCCACCCTGTCCCTTGCCTCGCCCCAGGCCTCAGGGCCCACCCTGTCCCGCCAGCTGCTGACCTCCTTCGTGTCAGGCCTCTCGGACGGCGTGGACAGCGGCTACGTGGAGGACAGCGAGGACAGCTCCTCCTCGGAGTGGCCCAAGAGGCCTGGCGGCCAGGGGCGCCGGCTCCACCGCCGGCCGGGGCAGAAGTTCAACAGGATCTATAAACTGTTCAAGAGCACGAGCCAGCTGGTGCTGCGGCGGGACTCCCGGGGCGCGGAGGGCGGCGCGGACGCAGCCCTGCCCCTGCGGCGGGCGGGGAGCCTCTGCGGCCCCCTGGACGGCGCGGCCCCGCCGCCGGCCTCCCGGCCCCAGCGCTCCCGCTCTCTGCCGCAGCCCAAGCTCAGCGCCCAGCTGCCCAGCTGGCTCCTGGCCCCCGCCTCCCGCCACCAGCGCCGGCGCCCCTTCCTGAGCGGGGATGAGGACCCCAAGGCGTCCACGCTCCGCGTCGTGGTCTTCGGCTCCGATCGGATTTCGGGGAAGGTGGCTCGGGCCTACAGCAATCTGCGGTGAGAGCGGCGGCGGGGGTGCGGGCGCCGGGACGGGGAGGTGGGGGGGGGGGGGGGGGGGGGGGGCTCGGGGCGGGGGGGGGGGGGGGGGGGGCGGGCTGCGGGCTTAGGGCTCTTAGGGTCCCCGCTTCTTACCACCTTCTTCCTCTGCCAGGCGGCTGGAGAACAACCGCCCCCTCCTCACGCGGTTGTTCAAACTCCAGTTCTTCTACGTGCCCGTCAAGCGGGGCTCCGGCGCCTGCCCCAGCCCTGCGAGCCAGACGCCCCCACTCCCCGCGGACTCCCCCAGGCAACCCAGCCCTGCAGTACGTCCCCCGCCCCGCGCCACGCGCCGTGGGGGCGCAGAGTGGGCGCCATCCATCGCCTGTGCCTCGGGGGGCACCTCGTTGCGCGCGAGCCTCGCTCCCAGGAGCGGCCCCGGCCCTGCGCGTGGGGGCGGCCCTTCGCCGCGTTACGTAGACTAAAAGCTGTTAGACTTCTCTCGGGGCTGGGGGGGGGGTGGGGGGGAGGCTCCGCTTGGGGCCGCGGAGGGCGTGGGGGGTGCGCAGGGCCGCCGCGCAGGGACTGACCCTGGACCCTCCCCCAGGAGCTGGAGAGCACCAATGATATCTCCCACTACCTCGGCATGCTCGACCCCTGGTACGAGCGCAACGTGCTGGGTCTCATGCACCTGCCGCCGGAGGTCCTGTGCCAGGTCGGTGGCCCCCGCGGGGCGGGGGGAGTGGGGGCACCTGCTGGAGGCCCCCTGGTTTGGGGGGGGGGTGGTGGATCCAGCCTGGAGCCTCCAGGGAGGACCAGGAGGTCCTTGGAATTGAGCGGGAAGGGTGGGACGGAGGCTGGGCTGTGGGTGTGGGCCCCCCCCCCCCCCCATCCCGAGCATTGTGTGTCCTGCCGGCCACCTGCCACTCTGGCTCCGTCCCCCACCCGCAGCAGTCTCTGAAGGCTGAATCCCGGCCCCTGGACGGCTCCTCTGCCCAGCTGCCCATCCTGGCGGACATGCTGCTCTACTACTGCCGTTTCGCCGCCCGGCCCGTGTTGCTGCAGGTCTATCAGACGGAGGTGAGCCCCGCCCCCCGACGCCGGCGCCCCCGCCCCGCCCCCTGCCCTTGCAGCCCGCGGCCTCGAGCAGAGGGCGGCGGGGGCTGCCCTCTGATGCCGCCCCCGCCCTCTGCAGCTGACCTTCGTCACCGGGGAGAAGATGACAGAGATCTTCCTCCACTCCCTGGAGCTGGGTCACTCTGCCGCCACACGTGCCATCAAGGCTTCCGGTGGGTGCCGCCTGGGCCCCAGGGGGGACACGGGGTTGGCGAGGGGCCCCCCCGAGAGGAGAGGGAGTGACGGTCTGTCTGTGTGTCACAGGTCCTGGCAGCAAGCGCCTGGGCATCGATGGTGACCGGGAAGCCATCCCTCTAACACTACAGATTATTTACAGCAAGGTGAGGCCGGTGCTGGGGGCCCAGGCCCGCTGGGGCCTGCTCCTGCCCCTGCTTCACCCAGAGGCAGCCCCCTGTGTTCCTGGGCCCCAGGCTTTCAGCGGGGAGAAGGGAGGGGGTGGACATCCTTCTCCCCTCCAGTGTTCTCTCCCCCCACCCCCCGCCCCCACCCCCCAGATGTGCTCAGCAGCTCCCAGCTGCAGGGCTGAGGGTGAGAGGGGCAAGGGTGCAGTGTCCAGAGGGAGAGCCCAGGGTCTGCAGGGCTGGGGCGCCCCGCGGGGTGTGTGGGAGCCGGGACCCGTGTCAGAAGGGAACCATAGGATTTGTGGGGTGCAGGTGGGAGGGGTGGCATGGGCCTCTGAGCATCACACCCGGGGTACAGGCCACGAGAACCTTGACTTCAAAGTGGGGACACCCCCCCCACCCTCTTTCCTTCCTTCTCTCTTTCCTTTTGCCATTCGAAAGATACTCATTTAGCCCCTACTCATGCTGAGCTCTGCTGGGGAGGGGAGACAGCGGTGAGCAGAGAAGGCTAGGCCTTCTCTGCGACTTTCCTGGAGGAGCAAGACAGGAAACAACAGAAATGGCCAGGAGAGTATCAAAGAGCGGTGAGGGGTGACAAGGCAGTAAAAGGGTTGATGGGACAGTGATGCTGAGGCCACTTACGTGCGGCGGCCAGGGAAGTGGGCAGGAAGGACTGACTAACAGAGCACTGCATGTTGGGTGTTTGGGGAATACCTCCCATGCCCCAGACCGGGGGATTCCCAAGAGTCAAGTGCTAACAGTCTAGAGGGAGCGGTAGATATTGCTTAGATGATCTCACATGATACATAATTACAACTGTGACAGGTGAAGGAGAGGTTCGTGGTCCCCTGAGAACCTTTAAGAGGATCATTCAACCTGGTCAGGAAGGCTACACAAGGCTTCCCTGAGAAGGGACATTGAGGCAGCACTGGAAAGGAAACGAGGAGTTAGTTAATTAGGCTAAGAAGAGAGGGATATGCTCTCCAGGCAGAGAGAACGGCATGTGCAAAGGTCCTGTGGTGAGAGGGAACATGTCATCACAGGGCACTGAGGCAGGCCAGAGGGGCCAGAGCAGAGACGGTGCATGGGTGAGGCTAAAAGAGCTGGCAGGGCCACAATACCAAGGGCCTTGATTTTTGTCCTTGTCCCAAGAGCCGTGGACACCCTTTGAAGGGGCTCAAGTTGGGGATGGGGCTGGGGGATGTGTGCCATGATTAGATTTGAGGTCTGGAAGCTCCCTCGGTTTGGAGGGGTCCGCAGGGGATGCGGGAAGGCCAGTTAGGAGGCTCCGGGGTTGGTTGTCCGGGGGGAAATGGGGGTGGCCTGCATGGGGGTGGTGGTGGGTTCTGTGAGCAGCAGGGCGTAGGGGCGGATCAGAAAACGGGAGGCCCAAACTCCTGGCTCTCAATGTTCCGGGACCAGAAGCGGCCCAGGTCCAGTGCGGGGAGGCCGTGAGTTGGGGGCAGGTCGAGTTTGGGTGCCCTTGAGAGACAGGAGGAAGTGAGAAGTACAGTTGCACGGATGGGCCTGGCCTCAGGTGCAGGGGGGAGTTGGGTGTGTAGGTGGCCTCGGGGAAGGAGCACGGAAGGCTCGTGCTTGGAGAGACTAGTGGGGCGGAGAGTGGGGGGCCAGGAGGAGGCACCCCGAGCCCCGTGCCGTGTGATGGCAGGCAGACAGGCCCCGGCCAGGGGCAGGTGGGCGAGGCGCGGGGTGCAGACAGCAGTGAGCACAGCCAGGCACTCCTATGAGGTCAGGGGAGCCGAGGACTGAGAAACGCACTTGCATCTGGCAACGCGGAGGTCCCGGTGAAAGAGACGTCCAGACCCCAAGGGGGGGCTCCAGCCTGGCTCTGGCCGGGACCTCATGCCCGTGGGCCCCTCTCCTCCTCCTCCCTTGGGGCTCAGCCGTCACGGAGATAAGCCTTTGAGATGCTCTGAGCTCTGGAGCCCTGCGATCCGTGGACCAGGCTGGGCACCCGACACTCCTTCTTGGAGTCGTCGAGGTCTATACGGGGTCAGACAGCTCTTGGTGCACGAGTTAGCAGACTCGGGTGAACGCGTGCCACCGGTGGGTCTGGAGCCACCTCTTCCGAGAGCAGGTAGCGGGCCCCGGGGGACCCCGGCTGAGAGGGTGCGGCCCCGCTGTGTTCCCAGGGGGCCATCAGTGGCCGAAGCCGCTGGAGCAGCATGGAGAAGGTGTGCACGTCCGTGAACCTCAGCAAGGCCTGCCGGAAGCCGGAGGAGCTAGGTGAGCGGGCGGCGGGGTGCAGGTGGCGGGGGGCGGGGCCCCGAGCCTGGCCTGAGCCGCCCCCTGCTCCTCAGACTCCAGCATGGAGGCCCTGACGCTAAACCTGACCGAAGTGGTGAAGAGGCAGAACCCCAAGTCCAAGAAGGGCTTCAACCAGGTAAGGGCACCCCTCTCTTCGCGGCCACGCCTTTCGGGAGGCCCAGGCGCGTGCAGGTGCCTGAGGATGTGCGCATGCGCGAAAGGATGAGGTGCGGTTTGGGGTGCGTACTCCGTGGGTATCAGGGGAGGAAGGAGAGCCCTGTGGGAGGACGTGTCTGTGTGCAAAGGCTCCCGTGTCAGGGACCCCGGGCCTCGCGAGGGGGGCAGTGGGCTTTGTCCGGTGGGGCCGGGGCTTGTTTCTTCCAGACTCAGGGAAGGTGGAGGCCGGGGAAGGGGCAGGGCCTGATGGAGGCCGTCAGCCCCTGAGAGCTGCTGCCGGGCTTGGGGACAGGCCTGAGGGACAGAGCTGCCGAGGGCTGGAGTTCGAGGGGGCCGGCGATCGGGGCTGACGGGGGCCTTGCTTCCAGATCAGCACGTCACAGATCAAAGTGGACAAGATACAGATCATCGGCTCCAACGGCTGCTCCTTCGCGGTGTGTCTGGACCAGGATGAGAGGAAGATCGTGCAGAGTGTGGTCCGGTAGGAAGGGGGCGTCCAGGGAAGGGGCGCACTCCTGCACCACCCCCTGGGACCCCGGAAGGAGCTGCAGGGATGCGGAGGTGGGGGCTGCCCTTACCTCCCGCCTGCCCCACAGGTGTGAGGTCTCGCCCTGCTACAAGCCGGAGAAGAGCGGCCTCCGCCCCCAACCCCAGAGGACCCCCGACCAGCCGGCCCAGGCCGTGCCCGACCTCTGCTCCCTCCTCTGCCTGCCAATCATGACGTTCAGCGGAGCTCTGCCTTAGTGGGGCTCTCACCAGCGGGCGGGGAAGCCTCCTCGGAGCCCCTCCCCACGCAAGGGGGGCGGCCGTGAGGGTCTCGCTCCCTGTGGGGAACTGAACGGCCCTCTGTCGCACTGGGTCCTGCCGTGGGTCCCTGCGGCTGGCAGGGGCTTGGCGGTTTCTGGGTCCTCAGGGCTCCGTTTAGGAAGGACACAGGGATGAGGGAGGGTGCGGCTGGCCACGCAGCCCCTCAGATCCCTCACGTAGACAGGAGAGGGATGGAGGAGGGGCTGACCTCCAAAGGCACCGGCCACTAGTGTGGTCTGGGATCCTTTCTGGAAAGATCTGAGCCTCTGGTGCTCTGGGGTGTGGCTTAGGCCTCCTCTCCCAACGTTGGCCAGGCCCCCCCTCACTTTGTCAAAGACTTGGGGAAGCCTTTATATCTGTGCTTCAGAGTCCCCTCTACTCTGCGGTTCAGGTGGGAGAAACAAGGATAAGAATTTCTTTCCAGACCTTCAGTACCCCACCCCCACTTCTCTCTCTCACACACACACACACACACACACACACACACACACACGCGCACACACACACGCACGCACGCAGATTCCCCGGGTATTCTGAAAAACAGCACTAATCCTTTACCTGCCTGCTGTCAGGACATAGAAGACATTCTCTTGCGAGCCCCTTTCTGGGTCTGAGAGCTGGGGGGACAGGACAGGCACAGATTCAGGAGCAGCTCGATTACCTTCTAGCTGAATGACCAGAAGGAAGTTAATTAGCCTCTTCCAGCCTCCACCTCCTCGGCTCTACGACCTTCGACCTTCGGGGGTTGAAAAGAAATTGTCCGCAAGGTGCCTGGCCCGTGGCTGGCTCATGGCCAGTGCTCAGGAAAGATTAGCAGCCTCGCCCTTAGGCGCCAACTCCCCTTGTGTGGCGCTGGGACACTCTCACGGCCCCTGGGACAGTCCTCATTCACGCCTTTCCGATTCATCATTGAAGCAGGACCAAGACTAGGAGGTGGGGAGGGGTCAGTTTTACCCTCCGAAGGAGGAACGACCTTGGCGGGGACAAGAGGAGGGTGGCACGGGAGTCCCCAGCCTTTGCCGACTTCTCTCCCAGATGGGACCCCGTGATCCCCGCTCCCGTGTCACTCCTCTGGCTGGTGCACGTTATGTGCGGAGTCTTGCAGCCCAGAAGGTTCACGGGCACCGTTCTGGTGCCTGGGCGAGATCCCAGAGCGGGTAGATCAAGAGCCTGGCTTTGCGGGGCTTTGTGCCTGGCTGGAGCAAGGGCGGGGGGGAGGGGGTGGCGGAACGCGAGAGCCAAAAATGTTAAAGCCGCCAGGTCGGAGCGGTTTGGAAGGAAGCAAGTGTGCGCTAGGGTCATGGGGTGGAGGGCAGGGCTGAGGACCGGGATTTGGACGCTGGGGGTGGAGGAAGGTGACTGTATCCCGCCCAGAGCCCCTCTGTTGCCTCCTCCTGCTTCACCTGCTCCAAAGCTGGTGGGCTTGCGGGAGCCCCTGAAATGCCAGCCAAGACCGCCTGATGGAAGTGAACAGAGCTGTCCCTCCCGCCCCCGCCACCTGCCCCCAACCAGCCACCTGTCCATGTTCCAGGCTCCAGAGAGCAGCCGACCGTGTACCCTTGATAGTTTGTTGTTGCATGAACAAGTTCTACTACAGGATAAACAGATATCCAAGAATGAAAACAGTTTAATATTATTTTCGAATAAAACTTGGTTAGTCTCGAATGCAATGACTCGTGGTTATCTCGCCGCACGCCGGTTAACTTGCTTCGTTCGCACAAACCGCTTCACAGGCAGCAACGATCAGGGTTCTTGGGGGGCTGTTGCGTGTAGCTTTTTGGAGCTGGAGAAAATGTATTTGTGCTGACGTTTTCTGTGACGCTGTTCCGCCGAAGCCTCGTCGTCCTGCTGAGAGGAAGGAGGTGAGCTCATCGCTGGTCGCGGGAAGACACCTGTTATTTGGGAGGAATACGAAGGCATCAGGCTCGCAGCCTAACCCCCGGGGAGGGAGGAAGAAGGAACCATGAGATGCTCTAGGTTTGCCCCAGCTAGCTACTGCAAACAATAAAACACGCCTAACACACCCAACATGCATCCACGGGACATCCAGGGATCCCTTGATCCAGGTGGGGCTCCCCTAACGGCCTGGGAGGTGTCTGTGCTCCCCAAATTAAATCGGCCCAAATCCACGACACCCATTAACCCAGGGATCCCAATAAACTCAGCAGCCCTCACTCCATCTGGAGGCCGGGACTTCACTTCTGATACTCTTTCCAACGTCCCATAGCCCCATTCTAATCGCGAGGAGAATACCAGACAAACCCAGACTGTGGGACCTTCCTCTATGGGCTAATCTGACTAGTACCCTTCCAGGAGGTCATGAAAACAAGGTAGGACCGAGAAACTCCTAGAGCAAGGAGAGAGGGAACCTGAACACTGAATGCAATGTGGTACCCTGGATTGGATCCAGAAACAGAGAAAGGTTAATGAAAGAACTGGTGAAATCCCATAAAGGCTGGAGTTTTGGTTTTTCAATTTTTTTTAAAGTTTATTTATTTTGAGAGGGAGAGAAAAATGTGAGTGGAGAGAGAGGGAGAGAGGAGATCCCAAGCAGGTTCCTCACTGTCAGGGCAGAGCCCGACACAGGGCTTGAACCCACAAACTTGTGAGATTGTGACCTGAGCCAAAGTTGGGTGCTTAACCACCTGAACCACCCAGGTGCCCCTGGAGTGTAGTTTTCAAAAAGCAAACAAAACCCAAACACACACACACACACACACACACACACACACACACACACATGAAACACACAAGCACCTTATTGTAAGACTCCTGGGGAAGAAAAAGGTAATGTGAGAATCTTAAAGACAACCAAAGGCAGCAGTGGGGGGGTGTATTTTATCTTCAAAGGATCAACAAACAGCTCCCTTCTCAACAGAAACATTGGAAGCCAGAAGACAATGAAATGACATCTTTAAAATGCTGGAAAAAATTCAATCTAGACTTGTTCAATGTTTTTTTTTTTTTTAATTATACGCTGCTCACAAGAGACACATGTTAAGTATACGAACACAAAGTCTGAAAGCAAAAGATCAAAAGGATGTTGTTATTCTAATGTCAAAGATTTTAAGGCAAGAAGCATTTTAAAAAATAATGAAGAGGGACAGTTTATAAAGGTCAAAAAGTCAATCCAACAAAGTTATCATGATCATAAATCTGTATGCATGCAATAACATCAACGTAAACTGTAAAGCAAAAATTGACGGAATTAATGCCTCCACAACCATAATGAAGGATTTTATCACACTTCTCTCAGTGGCTTAAGAAAAACAGACAAGAAAGAATAGAGATACAGAGGATCTGGACAACACAATTAACACGTTTGATCTTGTTGAAATAGAATACCGCCCAGCAACAGAACTCACATTATTTCAAGCACAAGTAGAGTATCAAATTTCAAATGATTGAAGCCAAAGGGAGTATCTTCATCTCAAAAAGATACAGAAAGAAAGGTATAAATCCTAAAGTAGGAAAAAGGAAGTGTAAAAGCAGAAATCTATGAATTAGAAAAGCAATGTACTAGTGGATAAGGCTCTAGCGAACAAATCAGCAATATCGTGTGTGAAAAAGAGGGACGTCTCTACAGATCCTATGCGCGCTAAAAATATAATGAAAGGATACTACACATTGACCAATAAATTTGGCGATTTGGATAAGATGGAGAAGTTTCTCAGAAATACCACTGTGAGGGGCGCCTGGGTGGCTCAGTCGGTTGAGCTTGAGCGTCCGACTTCGGCTCAGGTCGCAATCTCGCGGTCCGTGAGTTCGAGCCCCGCGTCGGGCTCTGGGCTGACAGCTCAGAGCCTGGAGCCTGCTTCCGATTCTGTGTCTCCCTCTCTCTCTGCCCCTCCCCCGTTCATGCTCTGTCTCTCTCTGTCTCAAAAATAAATAAAACGTTAAAAAAAAAATTAAAAAAAAAAAAAAGAAATACCACTGTGAAAGAAATGGATTTCCCAGGTAGGCAAATATATGTTAAAGAAATTGAAACCATTCTTTTTTTTTTTTTAATTTTTAAAGTTTATTTATTTATTTTGAGAGACAGAGACAGTGCAAGTAGGAAAAGGGCATAGAGAGAGGGAGAGAGAGAATCCTAAGTAGGCAACGTGCTGCCACCACAGAGCCCGACATGGGGTCCAAACTCACGAAACCTGGTCAGATCATGACCAGAGCTGAAACCAAGAGTTGGACGCTTAACCAACTGAGCCATCGAGGCGCCCCCCAAACCATTCTTTTCTTAATTAGACTGGCAACCAATTATATTTTGTTGTTGTTGCCTCCATACTTCATACGTATTTCAGAATATCGTATAGTTGGAACCGTACCGTCACCAGCCTTTTCAGATTGGTTTCATTCACTTAGCAATATGGATTTAAGGTTCCTCCTTGTCTTTTCATGGCTTCACAGCTCATTTCCTTTTTTTGCCAAATAATATTCCATTTTATTGATGTACCCAAGTTCATTTCTTTACTCACAGTCTGGAGGACATCTTGGTTGATGGCAATGTTTGACAATTATGAATAAAGCCGATGTAAACATTTATGTGCTGGTTTTTGTGTGGACATATGTTTTCAACTCCTTTGGGTAAACACCAAGGAGCACAACTGCTCGATCATTTAGTTTAGTTTTTTGTGTTTTTTAAAAATTTTTTAACATTTATTACTGAAAGACAGAGAGCTCGGGGGTCCAGTACTGGGGGCTTCTCTCTCCCTTCCCATCTCTGAATGCCTCTATGGCCTCAACCCCTCCCCCCCCCCCAGTAAAATCAGGGTAAAGGAAGCCGGCTCTCCTGGAAGAGGGTGTCCTCCCCATCCCTCTGGGGGCAGAGACAGGCAGGTGCCAGACTGTCCCCTACCTGTGCCACTTTATTTCTCTGTTCCTTGCAGCAGGTGCACCTGCATCCTGGCTCAGACCACAACACAGTCCCCCTGTGTCTCAGGCTGCTCAGGCTGCCCATAGAGTGGGGCTGCTTAAACAACAGACACTCATTTCTCCCAGTCTGGAGGCTGTGACATCCAAGGTCAAGGTGCTGGCAGATTCCGTGTCTGGTGAGAGCCCACTTCCCGCTTTGCACACGTTCACCTTCCCACGGTGCCTCTGCCTGTCTAGTGTCTCTTCCTCCCCTTGGGACGCTGGGGCTCCACCCTCCTTACGACGTCCTCCAACCCCAATTACCTCCGAAAGTCCCCACCTCCCGATGACCGTCATGTTGGAGGGTCAACACACGAATTTTGGGTGGACACAAACATTCAGTCCATAACACCCAGCAGCCCTGAGCGTGTGGTCCCTGGAAAGGCGACTGTGACCACACGTGTGCCTCTGGCACAGGGTGAGTGGG